GGTATAGGCCGCATGCACCAGAGAGCAATAATTATAGGACCAATATTTACATCTTTAAACAGATGACTTGTGCGGGCTTTTGCCTATGGACAATTTGGGGTGCTGTATTTTGACACCGTTTCATGGACGCACGCAATTTTTAACATGTGCATGTTGGGAATTTACTCGTCGTAACTTAATCTTTTATATTTTACAAAGAAAAGGGGTATTACATTGTGTTTATGGGCACACATTTATTTACTACATTTTTGGGTTAGATAAAGAGTTGCGCTATAATCATGAGACACAATTTCGTTGTCTTGAATTGTATTGTGATTGTAATGTCTTTCTTATGTTGTAAAGCACTGCACAAACTGTTGGCGCAATATAAAATCTGTATAATAATAATAACTGCCGCCAACATATTCTACTGGGTCTTTGCTTTCAGAAAATATGTTTAGGGTTTTAAAGTCATTTTAATGCCCAAAATGTGGATTATAACATGTGTGCTAAAAAAAAGGCCTTGGCAGCGAAAGGGTTAAACATGTTTTGTGCAAGCAGCATTTATTTATTTTTGTCTTAACTGAAGCTATGTGATTAAAAACAGGTCATAAATATAACATAGGTGGCATCCCAATTTGGCTGCAAAAGTGGAAATACACTTTAGAGGAAAAGGGATTGTTTTTGGATGGCAGTGAGGCACACATTTTGGTGAGAGGGCATAACTGGTTTGCAAAAAGCCATGACAGAAGCCATCTACATCAAACTGAAACATCCATTCCTAAACAGGGGAAGAGTCTTCAACACCATCTGTCATTCACATATAATGGCGTTTTAACATCTCTATCTCATCCATCTTACAATTCACACATTCTGCAATGTACATCAAAGGATTAATACCTGCTGCGGCCTCTTACACCAAGTGATGAGATTATGTAATTAGAACAGTGTGGTTCCTCACAATTTCACACCTCCCATCCTGTTCTTAGACAATCAGCATCTGCATTGCCACGTTCCATGGTGTTTGGATTAAGCTGACTAAATTACCCATGTGGATATAAATGCTAAATTACCCATGTGGATGTAAATGCTAAGGTATGTTAATGACACTTCTTAGAACTGAAAAAGTGGCTTAGGTAAGCTCAAGTTGAAATTAAAACTACTATTTATACCACGAGTTGGATAAATGAGACCCTTCAAAAGGTGTCTGTAAATCTCGACTTTTCCTGGAAGTGTCGTTTGGCCTCTTCCCATACCAAGCCACCACTTTGAACAATAGCTCTACCAATCAGATAAAAGGACCAGTAAGAAGGCTCAAAAGGCCTAATGGCCAAGCTCAGCAAAACAAAAGAAAAAATTAAGATTTGCATAAAAATGCAGTTGTCTAAATCTCTGTATCAACTGGTGGGTTTGACATGGAGTTTTACTGAAGGTATTCTGTCTGTGTATTTCTTACGCGTTTCCAATACTTTTTTACATTCTTAAAGCCTATTTCCACCTTTGTAGACAAAGGGTACATGAAGCAGGCATATGCAGCTGCTGTATATGAACACAGAAACCTATGTTTTTTTGTTAGCTTTCCTCTTGATATACTCATGGAAATGGCTGCCTCTAAGTTATGTGTAAATTACAACTGAGTTCTCTGTGAGCTCTCCACCACCATTCATTAGTATTCAACTCCCCTCTTCCCCCACACAGTGTATTGTGTATCAAGGCAGAGCTGGGGTTTACTGATCGTGTTATACAGAATCACAGGAAGGGAGTTAGCTGTTTACAATCCGACCTCGGTGTCACACTGAATTCCCTGTGAAGAAAATGTTGGTTTTCTATGATTCAGGCCCAATAAAACATTCATAAAAAATGAAGAAAGGCTGCAATGCGAGTCATGAAAAGGTGCACACATACATCATCACTGCACCTCTACATTACCACAATAAATGCTAATTACAAAAGGCAGAAATGGGCTTTACACACAAATCCAAGTACAAAATCATGATCTCTGGATACCATATTTCCCTATGCGCAGCATACAAAAGTAAAGCTAGTCCTTCAGTCACAGGCCATATCTCAAAGACATCTCAGCCATTCCTGACAGTCACTGCTTGGCATCATTGGCCAGGGCAGGCTTTTGGAGATGGACTAGCGAACTTAGCTGTTCCCAAAAAATGAAGACTTGGATATTGGTAACAGAAAAGTTTAACCTGCTCAGGCTAGGCTCCACATATTTTCAGAGGAGAAGTAGGTTTGAAACAGCCGATGGAGCAGATTATAAAAAATAAAAAAAACTCTTTATTTATATGCTGGAGGAAGAGAAAGGTTCACTTCAAGGGGAAACCCTGAAATAAATCACAATTCTTAATAGTATTTCATAAGGGTTTTCATAGCTTTATCATATCAGGTTTTCATTCCCTTGGTCTTGTACATGCTTTTCATAAATTAATTTTCAGAGAAAAGATGAGCCATTTTGTTTAGACCATTTTGGCTTTTATCATAACAATTACACATTTTTTCCTAGTTTATGAAGAAAAAAAAAAAAGTATAGTTAATTTCTTCTACACTTTCATTATGGTCTACCCCATGGCTATATCTACGTGATCCTTTGCTCAGCGGCATATAGACTTATTTTAAGAATGATATAGATTTATTTGTTGACCAACACACAGAGAAAGAACTCTGCCAGCCAAAGATCCACTTGCTCATCAAGTCCCCATGGGAAGTTCAGGCAGGGAACAAGAACAAAACAAAAAAAGAAGCTGTGTTCCAGCACTCTTCAATGCCCAGGCTGAAACACCTGCTGTGGCAGCTATCGAATTCCCAAATCTATATTCTATTCTGGAATGTTATATATTTCACTTTTATAGAGAAAAAAAAAACCTAATGCTATCAAACATAGTTTATGTGCTTTGTGACACAGCTGGCAACAGATCTACTCTGCTGTGTAGCAAATATCTAGGTTCCAGTGCATTAGTCAGAAAATAACCATCCCAATTTAAAAGGAAATCCAAAACATTTTTTCTTCGTTTTCGATAGAAGAAAATGGTAAGAACCCCTGCCAGGTTTTTATAGCTATTTATATTAGTGTTGTCGCCAGAACAGGAAATGAGGAGAAATCTCTGAGGCTCCATTCACATTGGGCATTCTGGCATTTCTGCAGCAAAAAAAGTAGGGATTCTTGCAGCAGGAATCTCAGGTGTCCCTGTTCAGATGCGGCCCTGTACCCATTCAAGTAAATGTCAGGGCGACAGCAGTCGTATCTGTACATGTTACGATTACATGCGTTTTGGGATAGATGATGGTCACTGGACACAGGATAGAGAGCCTGCCCTTATTTTGTTTTTGTGTATATGTGCATTGGCAAGTGCCTCCACAGTCTATTTATTCCACCTAAAATCTGGCTGATTGCTGCTGGGCACTCCCATTTTGTTTCCAATGTGAGTGGATTCCAGCAGGCAGCAAGAATGCACTACTTTGATGAGCCTGCAGAATCCTGCACATGGTCAGCAGTCTCTCTATTGCTTTTGAGTTGCATTTAAACCTTCACTTTATTCATGATCTGCCTAGTGTTATTTACCCAAGTGTTTTTTAAAAAAAAAAAAAAAAACTTGCAAGTACTCAAGACCAAATTATACTAGAATATTTTTTACTAGCAAAATCTGCCATTTATGAATGCTCATAAATGTGCTTATTGTTTTCAAAGAAGAATTCAAGGCATTTTGTCATTATAAAGAGGCTGAAAGAAGAACACATTTAACAGCCTGGCATATCATTATCCTAAAGTCATAATGTACGCTAATTTTCAATTTCTCAAGCGGCACAGCTCTCTAATGGTGCCCCCATGTCCTCTACAATCCATGAAATGGAGAATCTAACCAGGAAAACATGACAACCTCTCTGTGAATTGAAGAGGGCAGAGAGATGGCAACTCTCAAAAGGAAAACATGATGCTGAAATCCCCAAAAGATAAAATTAGATAGAAAGTGCTTTACTTAGCCTTTGTTGCAATGAGTTTGAAAAAGATTAGGTTTAAAATTACAAATACAAGAAAATGTTTGGGGTTTTTTAAGCCCACCTTGTAATGATTGTTATTGTGGAGAATAAGAATATATGTAAAGAAAGTATTGAACAATGTATATACTTGTACTATGTTTAACAGCAAAATAAGTGTGGACTAATAGAAGCCAGATGGAAATATTTTTTAAAAAGGAGATTTTGTTTGTAGATAAGGATGTGTTTATACAGCATCAAATGCACTGAGTAACTAGAGAAAGTGGAAAGGATTTATAAGTGTTTCGGCTCAGAATGAAGGTTTGAAAAACCTGTATGCAAATGTAATGGCTTTTAGCGTGAGCTAGGCATTGACTGGTTCTGAGGGCGATGAATGTGAAAGTATCCAGCTTCACAGTGCATTATATTGGCATGGAGTACATTGAAAGTAACAGCTTTGGTAGCGCAAGAACATAAAATCCTGGCTTCTGCATATGCATGTCTATATTTACAAAGTGACCGTTCTCCTTAAAGCTGAAGTACAGGTAGATTCAAAAGATAAATACATGCAGCTCTCTATCCAGTAATATGTCATTAAAGGCAGTGTCGTAACCTGAGCTTGGCTGTCCTGCAGAGCTCAAACTAGAAGACGGAGAAGCAGCACAAGGAGTCATTGATTTGCGCTGAAGTGACTGCGTGCTTACGTGGAATAGAAGGAAAGAGCAGACGAAATTAGCTCATAAGTGTGCTGCTTCTCCTTTTATTGTCAAGTCAAAGGCTATTGGAGAGACAAGACCGGTGTTACTTAACTGCAAGAGAGAAAAAAAAAAAATCAGGGCTCCTGCCCTGCCAGACAGGACTACGCTGTGTAGCAGAACTGTGTAAATCTTAGGAATATAGATTTGACAAGTGAAACAGCTACTATGTATTTCACCTGTGTTTTGAGCGGTTTGCCTGGAGTTCAGCTTTAGGCCGTTTTAGAAATGATTATTTTACAGGTGTGATATTCTACATCCGCATTGAAAATCAAGCTTTACCAGTTTTAATCGTTCTTTTTTCTTTTTGTTTGTGGTTGCTCCGGAAGATCCTGGTTCTGCTTCTTGAAGTATGCCGTTACCCTCATCATCCACATCATCATCATCTTCAAAACACCAGTCAGGGAGTTCAGGTGGATGAGGCGTGTCTTCAACATCCCCATAACGCTGGAAAAGTTCTTTGAGATAGTCTGCTTTGTAAATTCCTGGAGGCCTGGCCTGTGCAAATGTGGCTACTGCTGCTTCAATGCTGGAAAAAACAAACAGACAGAAACATTAAGTTTATTTAGTCCACACATACCTGAAGCTAACCACTGATTATATATATATATACACCTTTTGGGGGGGAACAAAGTGTGTCTTATGGAGCGAAAAATACGGTACATAGTGCATTCAGAAAGTATTCAGACCCCCTTCACAAAGTGAAAAACAGAATTTTAGAAATGTGAATTTATTAAAAATAAAAAACTGAAATATCACATGCACTTAAGAGAACTATGGGGTTAGGGCTTTTCCCCATAGTTCTCCTAAGGGTAACGGGAGGACACAAACTAGCGTCCTCCTGTCACCCAAAGCTCAGTGTACTGCGAGCTACAGCTTGCGGTATACTGAGACGCCGCAGCTGAAACGGATACCGACAATTATGTCTGGATCCGCCCAGCTGCGTGAGTGACAGCTGGCTCTGCCTATCTAGAGGCAGAGCCAGCTGTACCCGCCCCTCCCCCGTCCGTTCCACCAGTCAGCGCTGGAGGATCGGACAGGGGAGGGGGAATACAGTCCCTCCCCTGTCATGGCTCTCTGCAGTGACAGGATCAAGAAGAGAGCGAGCGCCGGTATGTGTTCGCTCACTTCCCGATCTACTGAGCCGACCTGTGACAGTTTCATTGTCACAGGTCGGCTAGAACTATGAGGATGAGTGAAAATCAATCACCTCATACTTCTCCTTTAAGTATCCAGACCAATTGCAACAACACTTGAAATTTAGCTCAGGTGCCTCCCATTTCTCTTGATTGGTGCGGAGATGTTTCTACATCTTGGGAGTCCATCTGTGGTAAAATATATTGATTGGACGTGATTTGGAAAAGCACACACCCCTCTATAGAAGGCCTCACAGCTGACAGTACTGTCAGAGCAAAAGCCATGAGGTCATAAGAACTGCCTGCAGAGCTCAGAGATGGGATTATTGCAAGGCACAGATCTGTGGAAGGCTACGAAAAAAATTCTGCTGCACTGACGGTTCCCAAGAGCATAGTGGCCTCCATAATTCTCAAATGGAAGTTTGGCACAACCAGGACTGGTCGTCCAGCCAAACTGAGCAATCGGGGGAGAGGAGCCTTTGTAAGAGAGGTGACCAAGAACACGATGGTCACTCTGACTGAGCTCCAGAGATCCTGTGTGAAGATGGGACAAAAGTTCCAGAAGGGCAACCATCACTGCAGCCCTCCACCGATCAGGCTTTTATGGCAGAGTGTCTAGAAACACATGAAAGCCCGCTTGGAGTTTGCAAAACAAGAAATCACCTGGAGGACTCCCAGACTGTGAGGAACAAGATTCTCTGGTCTGATAAAACCAAGATTGAACTGTTTGGCCTCAATTCTAAACATTTTGTCTGGAGGAAACCAGGCACTGCTCATCACCTGCCCCACACCATCCCAACAACAGTGAAGCATGGTCGTGACAGCATCATGCTGTGGGGGTGTTTTTCAGCAGCAGGGACTGGAAGACTGGTCTGGGTTGAGGGAAAGCTGAATGGAGCAAAGGACAGAGATATACGCAATGAAAACCTGTTCCATAGCACTAACGACCTCAGACTGGGCCAAAGGTTCATCTTCCAACATGACAACGTTCCTAAGCACACAGCCAAGACAACACAGGAGTGGCTTAGGGACAACTCTGTGAATGTCCTAGAGTGACCCAGCCAGAGCCCTGACTTGAACCCTATTGAGCATCTCTTGAAAGACCTGAAAATGGCAGTCCACAGACAGTCCCCATCCAACCTGCTTGAGAGAATTTGCAAAGAAGAATGGCAGAAAAGGCTGTTATTGCTGCCAAAGGTGCTTCAACAAAGTACAGAGTAAGGCCTGGTTCACACCTGGGCGTTTTACAGCGCGTTCCTACGCGCTGTAAAACGATCAACATGTGAAAACCAATAATTGCCTATGGGCATGATTCCCACCTGGGCGTTTTACAGCGCGTAGGAACGTGCTGAAAAACGGCCTGCGCCCAAAGAAGTACAGGAGCTTCTTTGGGGCGTTTTTCCACGGGTTTCCATTGGTATTCCCGAGTGTGGATTGGGGTTAACAAAGCGGTCCCCGAGCCACACTCGGAATACAGCGTACAGGTCTTACCTTGTCCGCGATCCCCGCTGTGCCGAGCAGCCGCGTCACAGGGGGGGCGGAGCCGGCGGGAAGTTTGAAAGAGAAAAACAAAAATAAAAAAAATTTAAAAAAGAGAAAATAAGGAAAATAAAAATAAAAAATCATACCGCCAGTGAAACGCGCGTTTTACTGAACGGAAAAACGTGCTAAAAAACGCAAAAAAAACTAGCTGAAAAACAAGCAGAAAAAATACGCTCAGGTGTCAACCGAGCCTAAAGGGTCTGAATACTTAACAACATGAGTACATGTGATATTTCAGTTTTTGTTTTATAATAAATTCACAGACATTTCTAAAATTCTGGGGGTACTGAGTGTAGATTAATAAAAAAATAAAAAAAGATTTTAAAAACAACTGTACCAGGCTGCAACATAAAATTCAAAAAAGTGAAGGGGTCTCAATACCTCTATATCTATATCTCTCTCGATATTTAGTTTATTTCGAACTTGGCCGTGTTATTAGCAAGCATTGCTTATAACTCTGCTCAGTATTAGCAAAGTAGGTCAACCATGCTCAGTTAGAAAGACAAGCAAGACCATGCTTCTGATCTCTATTATTCCACAAACACAATCTCTAATTCCAGCTTTCATGTACAGTATGAGCTCTGTAATATGTGAGAAATCTAAGCAAGCTTATAGACTAATGCTAACAGTAGTGCAAATGTGTTGGTGCCCTCTGTGTTGCTAGGTAGAAAGGACTAAAGAAGAGATCCGCTATTCTTTATAGAAATGATGCAGCATACTTAATGTTTCCGCTTTAAGCAAACCAGAAGTACAATAAAAAGTAGTTAAAGCTTCACTAGCTTGCAATAGGGGGCACCTCCAGGTGCCTGCACTTCCATTCAGCATACTCGGGGGGGTGGAAATTTAAAAAAAAACTACTTGTCCAAGGACTAAAGCGGGGGGCCGATCTACTTGTCCTTCATGGAAATCTACTTGTCCTGATACAAAAAAATAAATAAAAAAATAACCAAAACCGTATTTAGCAGTGCCAAGAAGAGCTTCTCGTTGGTCAGTGCTGTCAGGTGACTGCACTGACCAACGAGTGCTTGCATTTTGCGAGCGAAATTCAGAATACATGGCACAGGTAGATAGTACACCCATACTGGCGGATGGGAAGGACCGTTCTCTGAAAGGTAAGTATAGCGGGAGGAGGAGGGGGCCAGATTTGTGCAGGTAATTCCATTTTCCCAAATTACTTGGGAAAGTGAATTTACCCTTTGGGGCGGGTGCAGACTTGGGCAACCGTGTGCGTTCGCCACACAGCTCCATTGATTTCAATGGGGTTACATCTGCGTGGTAATCGCTGAAAAAAGGTACACGTACCTTTTTTCGCGACACACACCGTGTCGTGTCTTCAACCACGATCATGTACGATTGCATGGGCGTTATTGCAGCTGCAAACTGCGCAATCTGCCTGGCGTGCCTGGGGTGCCATTAGACAATAATGGCACCGCCAGCGAGATCGGCGGTGGTGTGCGCTTCTGTGACCGCCCAGCCATCCACGCGGTTTTGTGCACGATTGCCGTGCGGTAACGGATCGCCCACTACGTACGTGCACACACACACACACACACACACACACACACAAACACCCCATGCATGCGTTTATTCGCATGCAGATGATAGGGGTTGGTTTTAATTTGAGATTTTTTTTTGCTTTGTAATATTTTTTAAATTTTTATGCATTTCCATTTTAATTTTTTACATTTTTATGTATTTCCATTTTTAATTGTTATATGTATTTAATTTTTTACTTTTTTTCTTTTCACTTGACTTTATTGCTATCACACAAGGGGTAACAAGCCCCTGGTGTGATAGCCTCTGGAGGTGACAGGTTCTCTTTATTGACCCTGTCACCACCAACACAGGAGTTCTAGCACAGTTCTGTGCTGGTTCTCCTGTGACAGGAAGGCTGCATTCCCCTGTCACTATTCACACGGAGCCGAGTAGAGAAGCGTTCTCTGCCCTGCTCCATGCTCTCTAACCTAATTTGCCGTAGGCACGGATCACCCACAAGAGGGGGGGACACCGAAGACCACAGCAAAAGAAGCACGGAGAGAGAGGCAGCCGAGAAAGGCACGCGGCCGGCCGCCGGAGAGAGAAAGGGGAGGGGGAGTGAGATTCAGGCAAGTTACACGTGGTTTTGGACGGCTGTACAGCTGTTCAAAATCACTTGTACGAAACGGCTCCCACACTACATTTAGCTGTGCTGCTTGCCCGCAGCCGGGCTAAATGTAGAAAAAAATGCCCGCGCCCAAAACTGCCTGTCCCGGGTGTCGGGCGATAGGAATTCCACACCCCTTATACTATTCAGCAGTTCTAGAGCCCTTAATCCTGGAGTTATCTGACAAGGGAATTTTGACCAGGCACCCAGATCAAAAGACCATTCCCAACCTGTCCCATCTCCTGTGCCTTACAGGTCAGTGAGGCCACCCATCTGAGTTATGGGCCAATACCAAGGCAGGCTCTTGACCCAGACAGCTTATGGAAGTTTGTATATGATAGAACTCAGGGATTTAGAGCTGCTGAGATACTAAAGAGACAATCAGGCAAATACAGCATAGGAAAGGACTTAAAAGGAGAACTATGAGGTGAGTTAAAAATCTCTCATAATCAAGGTTCAAATTGAAGTGTGACAATGAAACTGTCACAGGTCGGCTCTATAGATCGGGAACTGAGCGAACACATACTGTCGCTCGCTCACTTCTCGATCTCCCTGCAGAGAGCCGTGACCATCAGTCACGGCTCCCTGCAGGGATTCCCTCCCTGCCCGCTCAGATCCTCCAGCGCTGACTGGCTGAACGGACAGGTGAGGGGGCGGGTACAGCTGGCTCTGCCTCTAGATAGGCAGAACCTGCTGTCACAGCATTGT